AATGTTAAAAGTCTAAAGTCTAAATGCAGGCTAATGTTGCATCCTTATTTGTGATGGCATGCACTCAACCTTGGAGGTGTAGATATCATCTGTGACAGAAAAGCAAAAGAAAAAAATAGGATGGAACAAAACCTACACTTCTATCACAGTTGTCTCTCTTTGGAAGTGAAGATAATTCAAACAGATTCAAGGGCAGTAACCAGTTAATTCTGGAGTATATTGGCTTTAAGTTTCTTTACATGAAGTGAGGCTTTATACTGTAAATCCTGCTGAAACATGGTGATAACAGAGAGGGAAAAATTTGAACCTAAACCACTGCAATGCTGATGACATTAGGAGCGGATGACAAAAGATTGATTCAGGCAGACAGCATGTTCTAAAATTTTGAATGGCAGGAAATGAATGAATTTCAAGTCAGCCAGGTCCCTTCAGCCAACTGCATTCAGACGCACTGCTGGACAGACACGGACAACTTCATGACATTTTGTCGAGCTGGCTGACGGTGGCCTGTGCCGCTGTGCAAGACTGGATTGAGTGGAGATAGTTTGGCTTTCCAGCGACTGTCACTTTGGCTCACATATCACCGGGCTCATAGTCAGAGGGTCAAGGTTATATTGAAGTGTCAGAATTACATCTGCAGAAGCCAAATCCAACAGAAGAAAAACCCCATCCAATTTATAGATTTATTCACCATCCTATTTTTTTTGTCAAACACCAGATGTGTCATTCACTGAGGCATCAACTTGAATAGTAATGTAATTATTTTCCAACAGCGATACGCCATGTGCATAATCAACGGCACAAGACCATCAGAGATGCAGTTTGCCTGATAGACAGTTGAGTGCATTTTGGTTTAGTGTTACCAGCACAATAGCACTGGGATCACTTTGTCAAGGGGATTAAATGGATTTACGTCTCTGGATTAGGATGTAACCAGCTGGCTACATTTGTGAAAGAAAGTGTGTGTTTTTTGAGTGTGTGTTTGTGTGTGTTTGTGTGTGATAGGGGGCTTGTTTTAATGGTTCCTGTCAGGTGATACTGCTGTTAGAGGAAAGCCTCTTTTCCACAGAACACGACCAAATGAAGCATCGTTTATTGTGGCCACAAAAGATTGCTTTCAAGGTTTGATTTGAAAAGACACAATTTGTTCAACTGGTTGCTATATAATCTTTCGTCCAGTCAAATCAGATTCAGAACAATAAGAAACTTGCTCTTTGTGTTTCTCGAGGTTAAAATGCCAGTGGATTTCTCTTATTGTGAAGATACTGTGCTCAGATCAGACTTAAGGTAGTGACATTCTGAAGCTGTATGTAAGGAATAACAATAACCTGATACTAATGTGGTTTTAATAATTTGAGGAAGGGAATCATTAAAACACAGAGTTAATTTCACAGTAACCTTACACTTAAACAAA